AGATGAAACATCTAAAGAATGTACACAGACTCACAATGACACAGGAATGACTACACACGTTCTAGTGGCAATTGAAAACAATCAATCGTTGCAAGTTATTGATAGTAATTTGAATTATTGTTAGCCTTTTAAAAATATTAAATTTTCTTTAACTTTATTTTCCATTTAAAAATATTACAGGGGGCCTCACAGTACCTGTAGCCCCAGAGACCTACAAAAGCTTAACTTGCTTGCAAGTACAAACTGGTACTTGCCAGCACCAGTTTGGCACTGATGGACCAGAGGGCAAGTTGAAGGGCCCCCAGAGTGTGTCATTCTGGCACTACTGGTCATACACGTCACGAGAGGTGACAGCTGTAAAAGTATGAGGTGTGTGTTAAGTTGTGGACGTACCTGTCCGCGCATACTCTCATCGCCCCGAGAGAGAGAGAGCGAGCGAGAGCGAGAGAGAGAGATAAAGAGAGGTGGAGGGGGGAAGATCAATCCCCCGGCTCACAGAGGGAGGTAGGAACACACACATCAAGCCCCCCACCATGGGTGTAAATACACCTCTGTACCAGCCACCACACGCTACCCAGGAGCCATCTGGTAAATTGCCAGAGGAACATTATTGTGCTGGGCATCACACCAATATTTAATGTGCAAGGCCAGGTAACGGGAGCGGGGTCACTGTGAGAGACTAATCGTAATAAATTATGTTTGTCATCTGATGATATTAATCATTGTTTACGCAGGTTTGATTTGCGTGTGAGCCGGGGCGTTTAGGGCGTGCATCAGTAGTGACTTAGGGTCCGGTAGTGACAAGACCTGGTGCTGTGAGCAGCTACCAGATGGTCATACATGATGAGGAAGTGACTGGTGTGTTGACCCGGGGTCAGATATACCCAGCCCTCCCACCCTCTGCTGCTGCTGCTCCTCCTCCTCCCACTTCCTCTTGCCAGGGGGAAGGTGAGAGAAGGGTGCTAAAGGTGTGGGAAGGTGAGGAGAAGATGCTGATGGGGAAGGAAGAGTCACATTCATACTTCCACCTGCTGGACATACAGGAGAGGTAGATGCAGGCGATGAGTCACAATAACGTGGCTACATTATGCTGACCAGACCACACACTAAGAGGTGAAGGGACGACGACGTTTCGGTCCGTCCTGGACCATTCTCAAGTAGATTGTGACACTTGAGAATGGTCCAGGACGTACCGAAACATCGACGTCCCTTCACCTTGTAGTGTGTGGTCTGGTCAACAAGAGTGGTAGATGCTGGTACAGATGACCTCTCGGAGGCCCTCACACTAAGGCTTGTGGCTTAGCTTACGTCAAAGTGCGAACAAAACCACGTATGATATCGGTGAATTTGACCGTCAAGTCGTCCCCTGGTAGATGTGTAATATTCTTACTGGCTATCACCACACAAGGCGGGAGAGTGCTGGACGGACGGGACGTCTGTCATGTGTTCTTATACACACACACACACCGATCCTGTCCAACTTGACAGCAGGTTCATAACTTCGTAGGTAAGTAGGTGCCCACCACTTTCCCACACATACACTACATTAATTGATTGACGGTTGAGGCGGGATCAAAGACCTGAAGCTCAGGTGAGTACACACACACACACACACACACACACACACACACACACACACACACACACACACACACACACACACACACACACACACACACACACACACACACACACACACACACACACACACACACACACACACACACACACACACACACACACACACACACACACACACACACACACACACACACACACACACACACACACACACGCTCAAATGTGCGTACTAGCGGATCACTATTTCTCGCCTTTGCTATGGTCCTCTACGCCCCATCAAACCCAATCCCGTCCCATCATAACTAAGGGACCTTCACGTCAACCCCTGCCTCACCCCCCCCCCAATCCTCTAAAAGGCCCTCCACGTCCAATCCAACCTCCCCCTCCCCTCCTCATCCTCACTAGGGGGGGCCCTCTGCAACAATCACCAGCACTATTAATGTCGGCGTGAGGTGTGAGCTGCAAGAGCAAAGGTTCAATTATTGAACACAAAGACCTAAACCCCCCAAAAGTTGTATCATGGAGACTTTTTCCTTACCTAATCAGGAGCTTTTTCTTCCCTTGCTCCACAAGCAATTAGTTGTGTAATAGGAGTTCAATTCACAAATTCCACTGTCGTAAAAATGAATAGAATTACAGGTGAGTGTCAATGTGTGAGAGAGAGAGGAGAGAGAGAGAGAGAGAGGTGAAGTGAGTAGAGGAGAGGGAAGTAGATAATAATGAAGTAGAGCTGACCTAGACATTTCTCTATCTTTTCTTAAAAAGTGACTGAAAGAGAAAAATCCCCAATTAATATAAATCTGGTAAGCACCAGTGGAGCATTGTTGGAGATGCTGTACAGATGTGGCGGGAAGGTCAGAGATGAGTTCCTGAAGATGGAGAGGTGTTGGAGAATGTATGGAGGAGGCAGCAGGCGAATGTTTGGACCGAGGGTGGGTACAGGCATAGCTGGTGGAGGGTTGGGCTGACAGGAAATGTTGCGCACTGTGTGCCACAGATATGTGTGGTTGGGGGTAAGCGTGTTGGGGAGGGAGAGAGGGAGGGGAAGAGCTAGACATATCAGGGAGATGCTCGAGAAAGGGGGGAAAGAGGGGGTAGATTACGACAAAGAAGGGGAATTACTGTGATGAAAGTGAGGGGAGGTGTAAAGAAGGCAGGGGTGGGGGTCATTGTGGCAGCATGCCGGAGGTGGGGTCAGGAGCAGGGTGGGGTCAGGAGCGAGGTGGGGTCAGATGTGGGGTGGGGGTGAGAGTGTTCACGCTTCACCTCTCTTTCACAATGATAGATTTTACCCACATTAACCACATAAGTGGACCAGAGCAAGTGTGTGTGTACTCACCTGGTACTTGCGGGGGTTCAGCTTCAGCTCTTTGGTTCCGCCTCTCAACTGTCAATCAACTGGTGTACAGATTCCTGAGCCTGTTCGGCTCAGAAATTCTGCTTCAAAAGAATTCAGTTAGGCTTCAGAAGGCGAACAGTGTGTGTGTGTGTGTGTGTGTGTGTGTGTGTGTGTGTGTGTGTGTGTGTGTGTGTGTGTGTGTGTGTGTGTGTGTGTGTGTGAATTATTATGCTGACATTAATACACATAAGTATATAGACCAAAATCTGATGTTTAATTACGAAGGCATCTTAATTACAATTTATGTTCAACATTATAATGTAAATGTCATTATTCACGGTTCACTGTAAACCTCTTATGCTTGTTCCATTTCGCAAGGTACTTGAAGTCTTTTTTCCTCAGAGGGAGGAGCTCGGGGGTCTTAGTTTCTCTTTAGTGGGCGTCTGAGGCTCTAGTTCCTCTCTAGGAGGCGACCATGTGTCTTAGTTCCTCTAATGAAGCCGTCTGAGGTCATAATTCCTCTTTAGGAGGCTCCCGAGGCTCTTGGTTCCATTTTAGGAGGGGCTCTTAGGAGGTCATTGCTCTTAGTTCTTCTACAGGAGGCGCCGTTGCTCATAGTTCTTCTACAGGAGGCGCCGTTGCTCATAGTTCCTCTACAGGAGGCGCCCGAGGTATTAGTGTTCTCGGTATTTCCTGAGGAAGATCTCAGCTTTCGGCCATTACGTGTACACAGGATGAGTTGGTGAGAGGTGAGAGACCCGGGTCGGGGGTCCGTGACAGGATTGGGATCCCGCAGCAGCAGCAGCAGCAGGAGCAGCAGCAGCAGCAGCAGCAGCAGCAGCAGCAGCAGCAGCAGCAGCAGCAGCAGCAGCAGCAGCAGCAGGAGTTTTAGGGCACGCCAGAAAGGGTTGAAGACCTTTGCCAAAGCGTTCAGGGGGTTATCTTGAGGTTATCTTGAGATGATTTCGGGGCTTTAGTGTCCCCGCGGCCCGGTCCTCGACCAGGCCTCCACCCCCAGGAAGCAGCCCGTGACAGCTGACTAAAACCCAGGTACCTATTTTACTGCTAGGTAACAGGGGCATAGGGTGAAAGAAACTCTGCCCATTGTTTCTCGCCGGCGTCCGGGATCAAACCCGGGACCACAGGATCACAGGGGGACCTGCGGTGCCCCGGAGGGATTGATATGAATAAACCAGTAGGGTTTTACGACCTATTGGCTGGCAGTAGGGATATGTTTTTTTTTTCCCCAGTGCTATAGATAGTCGTAACGGCTTGGTGCTTTCTCCTGATAGTTCCCTTCTTGAAACTAGATTACTTGGGTTAGACAAAACAGACTAGCCTCCTGGTCGGGGATCGAACTGGGAGCTACAGGGTTTGTTGGATAGCTTGATAACCACTATGCCAACCTTGCGCTAATATACAGCTGTTCTCTTATCGCTAGCGGTCAATACAACTATCATCGTTGGCTAGAGGCATAAGAACATTAGAATGAAGGTAACTGCAGAAGGCCAATTGACCTATACGAGGCAGCTCCTATTAACATCCACCCCCCAATCTCATTCATATATATATGTCACCTACGCTTGAAACAATCAAGGGATCCTCCTACTTCTATTATGTTACGCGGCAAGTGGTTCCACAAATCAGCCATAGACCACTGTCATGAAAAAAACTAGGGGGGCCGGGCCGGGCTGGGTCAAGTTCAAGTATGTTTATTGAGACAAGAAAGAAATACATCTCAAAGGGATAGAGTAGCTTAGGCTCTACTCTCAGTAGCTACTCTCGTAGCCGAGTCGATTAAGGCAGTGTCTGGGATGTTCCCGGACGCAGGTTCGAATCCTCGTCACGGCCCTTGTTGATTTGTTCATTAGCTTAGGCTATTTCTACCCCCCCTTACCCTACCTCAGGCGCCCCATGCACGCTGGGAATTTGGAAATGATGTCATTGTGGAGCGTGTTGATGGTTCAAGCAGAGAGAAGACCGCGCCATGTATGGCCCCCCAGACCTGGGCCAGCGCCGCCCCGTCAAGGTCCTCAAGAGAGTTCAATGTCGAGGCAGGTCTCCATTTACGGTTCCTCCTTTAGGCTAATGGTAGCTCCCTGACGCCCATCTTAATTACTTCCCTGCGTAAGGGGTGAGTATTAGCTGTGGGAGGGTTGGTCTTGTCTGTGGGAGGGTTGGTCTTGCCTGTGGGAGGGTTGGTCTTGTCTGTGGGAGGGTTGGTCTTGTCTGTGGGAGGGTGGGTCTTGTCTGTGGGAGGGTGGGTCTTGTCTGTGGGAGGGTTGGTTTTGTCTGTGGGAGGGTTGGTCTTGTCTGTGGGAGGATTCGTCTTGTCTGTGGGAGGGTTGACCTTGCCTGTGAGAGGTTTGACCTTGCCTGTGGGAGGTTTGACCTTGCCTGTGGGAGGTTTGACCTTGCCTGTGAGAGGTTTGACCTTGCCTGTGAGAGGTTTGACCTTGCCTGTGGGAGGTTTGACCTTGCCTGTGGGAGGTTTGACCTTGCCTGTGAGAGGTTTGACCTTGCCTGTGAGAGGTTTGACCTTGCCTGTGGGAGGTTTGACCTTGCCTGTGGGAGGTTTGACCTTGCCTGTGAGAGGTTTGACCTTGCCTGTGAGAGGCTTGACCTTGCCTGTGAGAGGTTTGACCTTGCCTGTGAGAGGTTTGACCTTGCCTGTGAGAGGCTTGACCCTGCCTGTGCAAGAAGTTAATACTGGTGATAAACCCTGTTGTTTTAGGATTGCATTAAGGATTAAAGCTAATGTGAAGGATTAAAGGATTAAAGCCAGTGTGAAGAACGCAGGTGGATGCACCCAGGCTACTTGGAATAAGTTTGAATGGTGAGCCATTGTGAGTAGTGAGGCAATGCACGTCAATGTTGAGTGAGGCAGGTAGAAGTGAGAGGTGTGGGAGGAGGAGGAGAGCAACAGGTGAGGAAGCTACCTCACATTTGCCTCAACATTCTAACGATGCTACTATGACGCAGGATGGTTGGGGGGGGGGAGAATGTTGACTCATAACACTGGCTCTGCGAACGTGGCCATATATGTGGTGTTGCTCGCGGCAGGGCTCATGCCGCGGTTAGGGGCGGGCGGGCGTGGGCGGCAGGCTATAGTCGTGGGCGTAAGCCTAGAGGGCGGGCGTGGGCGGCAGGCTATAGACGTGGGCGTAAGCCTAGAGGGCGGGCGTGAGTGGCAGCCCCTGAAGGCAGGGCGTGGGCAGCAGCTAGATTTCCGGGCGTGGGGTGACAGGCATTTGCGTCAACAATAAATTTTAACACATACGACGAGGAGGTAAACTCACTGTTACTCATGAGACGAATATGGAGATTGGTGAGTCATTCACCCACCGACGTCTCCGTCCGTCTCCTGGCCAGGTGAATAAGACTCATAGTGGGATAACTTGTGGCAACACGACTGTGTAAAAGGTGGTCGGGTATTTACATTATTGAGTCAATGAGGAAACGTGACAGCCCGAGGAATCTCTGGACTGCTTCTTCCCCCTCCTGTCTTGGCCTTCCCTGACCTCTTGCCACCCCGTCTTGAGCCGTCTTGGATGCCTTGGGCTGCCGTCCTGTCTGCCTTCACCGTCTTGGGTTGTTATCCTGTCTGCCTTCACCGTCTTGGGCTGCTATTCTCTCTGTCTTCTCCGTCTTGAGCTGTGTGACTGCCTTGGCCTGCCATCCTGCAGTGTCGCCACTACTAGTGTGAAGTGTGTGGCCGAGCAAGGAAGAGATTCGAAGAAAATCTCTGACGTCTCACAACTTCCGTACCAGGCGATAGTGACATTATTCTGGTGTTAGAATGCAGTCTGCTATTTCCCAAGTTAAATACCTTTCTCCAGCCCATAAGAATTAAGGAAAGTAGAAGGCCAATTGGCCCATACGAGACAGATGCTTGAAACTGTTAAATTACCCCAAGTCTGTTATCTTCCCTGGTAATTGTCCAATACTGAGAACAACCAGTGTGATATCTTGTCTCTCATTGCTGTATTTCTGTATGTATTTGACCTGTATTTTAGTCCTGAAGTTTTTTCCTGACCGGGGGGGAAGGGGGGATGGAGGATGAAAGTATAACAATATTGGTCTCAGTAGTCCACCCTCCCTGCAGGCCTCAGGGACAGTGATAGTGGGGATGGTGATGTTGGAGGATGGTAGTGGTGGTGGGGACGACAGTGGTGGTGGTGGGGACGACAGTGGTGGTGGTGGGGACGACAGTGGTGGTGGTGGGGACGACAGTGGTAGTGGGGACGGCAGTGGTGGTGGTGGGGACGACAGTGGTGGTGGTGGGGACGACAGTGGTGGTGGTGGGGACGACAGTGGTGGTGGTGGGGACGACAGTGGTGGTGGTGGGGACGACAATGGTGGTGGTGGGGACGACAGTGGTGGTGGTGGGGACGACAGTGGTGGTGGTGGGGACGACAGTGGTGATGGTGGGGACGACAGTGGTGGTGGTGGTGACGACAGTGGTGGTGGTGGGGACGACAGTGGTGGTGGTGGGGACGACAGTGGTAGCGGGGACGGCAGTGGTGGTGGTGGGGACGACAGTGGTGGTGGTGGGGACGACAGTGGTGGTGGTGGGGACGACAGTGGTGGTGGTGGGGACGACAGTGGTGGTGGTGGGGACGACAGTGGTGGTGGTGGGACGACAGTGATGGTGGTGGGGACGACAGTGGTGGTGGTGGGGACGACAGTGGTGGTGGTGGGGAGGACAGTGGTGGTGGTGGTGATGACAGTGGTGGTGGTGGGGACGACAGTGGTGGTGGTGGGGAGGACAGTGGTGGTGGTGGTGATGACAGTGGTGATGGTGGGGACGACAGTGGTGGTGGTGGGGACGACAGTGGTGGTGGTGGTGGTGGTGACGACAGTGGTGGTGGTGGGGGACACGGCTGACACTCCCCAGGTCAAGTGGTCATTGACTCACCACCTCCCGGCAAGATCCCACGGAAATTTTGTCTACTCATCTGTACTCACCTACGTGTCCTTTCGAAATTATAGCTTTAGCTCTTGGGTCCTGACGGTGAGACTTGAATAGACTGCTGTACAAAATCTCAAACGTCTTAAATTCGGCTCAAACGTGATATCTATACCTGGAGCAACGTATGGAGTCTGCCTCCACCACTTTATGCAATTTCTTAACTACTTTGATACTTAAGCACTTATAATATCATTGTTGTTCATTCAAGCACTTGCCCACCAAGTTAATTCCACTGAGGCATTTCAAAGAGAGAGGGAGGGAACGAGCTAAGGGAAGTGAAGGTCTCAACCTGCTAACAGGATTCAGAACCCTCGATTCCTATACCAACCTGCACAAGAACAAAAAATAAAGAGTGATAGAATGATACAGGAGCAGAGAGAATGACAGAGGGGGAGAGAGAATGAAAGAAGGTGAGAATAATAGGAAAGAAGGGAAATAATGGGAAAAGGAGGGGAGAAGAATGAGAATGCAGTGGCGGGGTGAGAGCATGAGAGAAAGGGAGAAGAATGAATCCCCGATAATATATTTCCGCTGAGACACTCCCGATATTTTATGCAACTATTCTTAATAGGATATGAAACAAATCTGCAAATAGTCCATGGTCTAGCTTGCTCCTTGGGACCACACGTCTGCTGGAACACTTGTGAAGCCGCTAGGAATGCTTCAAGGGCTGGCCTGTAATTCTGCGTAGGATTTGACAGTGACTAACATGCAGGAACCGACCTGCAATCCTCATGACTGCTCACGTTGACATTGATTACAACGTCAGAGCCAAGCGTGCCACCTGGTGCAATTTTGCGTTTTTGTTGCCATCACCAGGAATGTGAATGTTGATTTGGCAGAGTTTGCAACACACGACAGACGGTGGAGGGGGGACGACGACCACCACGACGGACCACACAGAAGGCACTACAAGTTAAAAAGTTGTTACTGACTCACTCTGATTTGTAACTAAATGACGATCTTCCTGTAAATTTAGTGTATAAAGTTGTGTGTGTGTAGCAGAGTCAATGTTTAGTTTTAGTAAGCATACTGCTTGATATGTTGGAGGTGGGGATGGTACTGTGGGTGGGGGATGGGCACGGGGGTTGGTACTGCTGAAGGCTTCACTGTAGACGTTGGTACTGGTGAAGGCTTCACTGGAGACGTTGGTACTGGTGAAGGCTTCACTGGAGGCGGTGGTACTACAGGCGGTAGTACTGGAGGTGGTGGTGGTGGTGGTGGCATGATTGGTGTCCAACAAAGGTGGTGGAGCCTCCTGGCAATAACAATGCCAGGCGCCGTCACACTAGGGCGTGATGCTCGTTCATTAGGAACCAGCGTGCGGGTCCTGGACGCTCATTATCTTAACGGCTTACACCATTATAATGGTTCCTTTACCAGCATACACCGGGGGGGGGGGGGAATGTTTATCCCTGTACACGAACACCGGGGGGGGGGGGGGGTTATCCCGGTACACGAACACCGGGGGGGGGGGTTATCCCGGTACACGAACACCGGGGGGGGGGGGTTATCCCGGTACACGAACACCGGAGTGGGGGGAGGGTTTATCCCGGTACACGAATTAATTATATCCCAATTGACTTTAATTGGTTGGGTTGTGAAAACAATTATTTGCCATCAGATGAATCTGTTCTCTCGATTTGCGACCCCGTAACATAATGCAACGGTTTCGCCTCAACCTGTTTTCTTAAAAATAACGTCGCTTTTGGCCGTTTGCCCGTATGGCCGAAAATGGACGTAATTTGAATATGAAAAAAAATGAAAATAAATTAATTTTTTAACAACAGTAAGTTAAGGGTCCTCTGGTAGGTTAGGTGGGCAGGAAATTCTCATAAAGTTTCAAAACGTTATGAAAAACGTTAATTGAAAGTTTCCTCTCCTAACCTTTCCGAGTAAGCCGGACGACTCAAACAGAAAACGGGACAGTATGTCACTTTTGTGAGTCGATTTCATTTCAAATTACGTCCACTTTTGGCTATAGCGCGCATACGAGCCAAGAGCGACTTTATTTTTAAGAGGACGGGTTGTTCGCCTAACCCGAGACATAGGAACCTAAGAAAACCCTCAAATCTATCGAGGTCGAAGCACAGAAAGCGTCAGTACTACGGTGCTTTAATTTTGTACTAATACGTCACATTTGTAGCCGGTTGATCGATTCCGTAAGAAATAAGGCGTAATAAGCAAGAGGACTGGTATTAAGACACATGCATGACACTAAACTGGGGAGCAACATCGCAGCACCATTCTTGATCCTATTAAGGGTCGAGAAGTGGGACCCAAGAGCCGTAGTTCATCCCCCTGCATGTACATTTAGGGAAGTATGCCAGCATCGAACACTTTAAGCAGACTCGGAAAGTTTCGTAAATTGGACAAGCAAATGAGAGATGAGTTTCAGCGTTACTGACTCATAGAACATGATGGAAACAATCATATAAAGTCAGGCTGTTGCAGGAACATGATTAAGGCATTAAAAGTAGGCAAAATTGCTTGGCAGTAACAGTGCCAAGTTGTCAAGAAATAAGGGGCCATTTTTGTATCCCAGAAATCTAGTACTTCTCACACCACTCTCCATGTCACTGCTAACTGATACACAAATGAAGACGCGGTATCCAATTATAATGGTGAATACTTTGAATACATTCTCTATATAATATATATATGCCAACACCAAAACTCAAAGGGATGTTGAGTTCTTTAAGGATAGCAAACACCACGCTACGATAACACCCAAAATTTTAAAAATATAACAAGAAATCCATTGAGATTTGAAAAACTTATAACATGTTTGAAGGGGGAAAATCCTACTAGCAATAAAAATGATGAAAAGACAAGATAAACTAAATTCGGGAAAATATTTTAATCTCATGTCAAACAAAATCAGCAACCGCGGTAATAAAAATTATTGGCAAAGCAGCAACCGCAAGTTATAATATTTCAGTACAACTAAACTATTTCAGCGGAATGAAGTGACCTCCGTTTTCATTAAAATATATATAAACACAAGGAAAAGGTTACTCAAGCAAATAATTGCGCTTGAAAACTATGAAATGTTTGTTTCCCCACGAGGCGAAACATTGTGTATTTACCTAGGTGTTCTTGCGGGGGTTGAGCTCTGCTCTTTCGGCCCGCCTCTCAACTGGCAGTCAATCAACTGTTAGTAACTACTATTTTTTTCCACCCACACACACACACACGATGCAGCTCCGTAACAGCTGTCTAACTCCCAGGTACCTATTTACTGCTAGATAACAGGGGAATCAGGGTAAAAGTAACTTTGCCCCAATTGTTTCTGCCTGGTCCGAGAATCGAACCCGGGCCACAGAATTACGAGTCCTACGCGCTGTCCGCTCAGCTACCAGACCCCCCCCCTAGAGTGTGTGTGTGTGTGTGTGTGTGTGTGAGTGTGTGTGTG